AGAGAAAAGTATAATAGAGAGAGAAAAAAAACAGAGAATAGACGGGAGAAGAAGAGACGGGAGAGAAGAGAAAATAAGATTAGGGTTTGAAAGAGTATAGTAGACAATTAAGGGTAGTTTTGGAATTATGAAAATATCAATTGGGTGGAATATTAGGTAGGGGGTTTTCTCTAATTATTTTTGTGAGGGGGTGTTTCCTTAACTCATTTTCCTAGACGAGGGGTTCTTGCTAATTATCCCTTTAATATAATTACAAACAGTTGGAACTTAGGAAAATTATAATGTGGTGCTATTCATAATTGACGACTTTTGTCTAGTCATTGTAGTCAGTCTCACTCGTTTACTATTCAACTTTTTACTAGTCCGCCATATCACTTTCCAGGTCTTTCTTCTGGGGCCTGACTCAAGCCTTATTTCAGCGAAGTTTTTGTATTATTAATTATGATTAAAAAAATATCTGAATTGTGGAGGTGTCGTTTTTCAAATTGAACATGTGTAGTGACTGATTAAGAGTGTGTGAATGAGTCGAGCTAGTTCGAATATTCAAATTCACCATAGTAAATATTTAGACATGCGTTTTAGAAGGCTTCTTCTTCTCTTCTGAAAGTGAAAACCGAAACAAAACGCTCGTGTTTCAACGTAAATCTTCTCACGGATATATATATATATATATATATATATATATATATATATATATATATATATATATATATGGGTAAATTACAACCACCCCTCAACTATAAAACTTTTTACACGTCCATCATTACCGTTTCAAATTTAGTGCAATCTTCGAGATTATATGGAAAATTATCACTTTTGTACCCGTTTTATCTCATTCGAACTCCACATTTTGAAGCAAGATGATCATAATATGTGTTTTTTGACTTGTATATATCAGATTGTGGTGCATCAAAAACTGTATTTTTACACAAAACGAGTACAAACTAGAGCACATTCCACGAAATTTAGATGATTATGTTGAATTTGACACCATAAGGGCGGAGGTATAAGAAAAAATCATAGTTGAGAGGTAGATGTCATTATCCAAACAAGATAGGTTTTTTCGTAAATTGACCATACCTCAGGGGGCGGTTGTTATATATATATATATATATATATATACGAGGTTTTAGCATCCGGCACCCCTGTGTAACGTCTAATGGCTAAAAAAACCCCTATGTTAAAACAATTAGCACACGACATTAAGGCCCCTACGAGTTGGTCGTGTGATACACTCGCCAAATATGCGACTGGGGTTTGATTTTTTGACGTGAAAAGACACAAATACCCTTTGCATTAAATTTCAAAAATAAGCCCCAAATAATTTTTTTAATTTTTTCAATTCAGTCCCTTGAAGTTTCAGAAAAGCCCTCTTCTTCTTTAAGTCAGGGACTGATTTGCAACTTTCCAAATATACAATGAACATAGCTGACCGCCGCTCTCCTTCCGGCGAACACTCTCTCCGGCCTCACTTCCCTCCATATCCTCAGCCTCCGCTTCGCCCCACCACTCCAACATTTTTTCTGACGAAATTCGGTTCGGCTTGGAGCTAAGATTCAAGCTTTATACTCCGAAACCCATCACCAACCCGTGAAATCCAAGAAAATATCTACCCCCATCCAAGACAGAGCTTATACAGAGAATAAAAATCCACTAAAAAAACTATTTTTTGCATTTTTTGGCTTCTTCTCCGGTGTCTCCTGATAGTAGCCCACCATTATTCAAGGTAACTGATGCCTCCGGATCCAAACCTCCCCGTTGTTTTTCTGCTTTTTATCGTCTTCTCCGACGAAGGCGGTGATTAGGGCTTTGGCGGTGGTGGTGATTAGAGCTATGGCTGGAGTTTAGTAATTTGCAAAAGAAGATTCGACTAGTATCATGGTTCTCCGGAACGGGAACGGTGCCCTCCGTTCTGGAATCCGTAACCATAACGGTGTTTTCACCGTGACTCATTGGAACGCCGAGAAATCGGTGGGATGAGCGAGACGGAGCCACGGAACGGCCCCGACGCGGCCGGAACGGCACCGGAACGGCCGGAACGACGCCGGAACAGAAAGAAAGAATTTGAGAAAAAAAAAAAAACAAATTTGACTAAAAAAACATAAAAGAAAAAAAAGAAATAATATGACTGTAGCAACAAAATCTTATCTGCGATTTTAGACAAACAAGAAATACTTGCACAAAGATAATTTAATTGAATTAAAATAAAATATTGCGGGTTACAAACTCTAATTTAATCCTCTGATTCTTCTCTCAAGAACAATATGTGTTTGACTTTGAATTTCGGAGTCGGATCGTTGACTTGATCTTCTCCGGATTTGATTTGGATTTGAATAACGTTTTTCGAGGGTCTAGCGACTTGAATCTCGGATCGAACGCTGAACTTTGACGGGTTTTGACTTGAAGATCTTGGAGTTCTTGATGGATTTGGCCCTTCAATCTTCCTTCGATCTTGATTTGTTGAAGAACGCCCTCGATTTGATGAAGAACGCCTTGAATTTGATGAAGAACGACTTGAATATTGTAGAGAGAATTTTCTCCTACGATTTTTCTTCTTCTTGAGTTGTGTTTTGAATTGTGTAGGGAGGGTCCTATTTATAGTGGTAGAATAAGAGTCCTACATGAAGTCTTCTTGATGACGTGGCGCGATTTGATTGGCTCTCTTTAAATTGATATTTATCTCTTATAACTTGGAAGAGAATAAACAATCCTATTGGCGAATAATTAATTGATAATTATCTCCATGACTTATTTTGCAAGATAAATTATAATCTTGGAATTCAATTTAATATAATATAAATTATATTAAATTTACGTGTCTACAATGACTGTGGTGGCCAGGTTAGAGAATGGAGATTCCCCTGAATCACAGATCTTTGGCCTCACTCTTCAATTATATCTTACACAATTCCAGCTCGGTATTCTACTTGATATTAATATTGCTTGTATTTTCATAATATTCTTTGTAATATTTATTTTTGAAATTGTAATAATATTTTGCATATTATTGAATTGTAATATTGTTATTAAAAACATATTTGAAATATATTGTATTTTTTTAACAATTTAATTAAAATGTGTCCGTTCCGGCCGCGACGCAGCCGTGACGTTGCAACGGAACTGGAACGGCAGTGTCCACGACAATGCACTGTTCCGTTCCGGCGAACTATGACTGGTATGGAACTGGCAAGGAGAAATTGGCGGTGAAGGGGACGAGATGAGCGGAGTAGGCGGGTGGTGGATGGAAGAGGCGGCGGCGGCAGCGACGTGACGATGTGATTGCCGGAGGTGGTGTTGTGAGTTTAGTGATGGTGGTGATTTCAATGGGGAAGAATAATTTTAGGGAAGACCCAATTTTCTCTCTTTTCTTTCCCTTTTTCCTTTTTTTCCATTAAAAAATGTGTTTTGTTTTATTTTATTCAAGAAATTTTAAAAATTGCAATTTGATCCAAAGTCTTGGATTAATTATATTTAAATCCAATTCGATTTGATATTTGGGAAAATTAATATTTAGTCCCCAATTTAAGTTTTACAAGTTTAGTAAAATTGCAATTTGGCATTTATTATATATTAATTCTAATTTTATGTTATTAATTGAAGGGTAGTATAGTCACTTCCTTTTAGTCAACATATTTATTTCCACTAGGGTGCAGTAAACTAAATAAAAGGGTAAAATTCATTTTCCACCCCTGTACTATGCGAAATGTATCATTTACCCCCTGAAGTATAGAAAACATCAAACACCCCCCTACCGTTAGTTTTTTTCTAATTCCGTTAGTCAAACCCTTTGACCGACTATTGCAAAGAAATGTTGGCTTTTTTTTTTTTTTTTAACGAAAATACCCCAAAAAAATTCTACATATAGGATGCTTCGTTTTGACAAATGTTCACCGGATTTTTCATTTTTTTTCTGCCCTTTGTTTTCACTTTATTCAATCATTTTTTTAACATTTTCAGCCATTTTTCTTATAAAGAAGCTGAATAGTCGAATAAATAAGAATGAAGCGTTACAGATTATGAATGTAAAAGCCACAAAAGGGAAAACTAAAAGCCCTGAAATCTAAATGAAAACCTAAAATTGGAATAGAACCATATGAAAGAATTGCAAATTAAAAACAAAGTTTTAATATTATAATGCAAAAATCCTCGAAAAAGAAAACCAAAAATAAAATCAAATTCTAAAATCGAGACAAACCCTAATTTGAACGAACGCTAGAAATCGTCAACAATCCACAAAAAATATGCCTAGAAAAGGTTAGGAATTATATCAAACATAAAAACAGGGTAAAAGAGTCATTGCACACTCAAAATTTAACACCGTTAAAAATTTGACCATTAACCGTTAAAAATAGGGGGGTGTTTGATGTTTTCTATACATTAGGGGGGTAAATGATACCTTTTACATAGTACAGGGGTGCAAAATGAATTTTACCCTAAATAAAATGCAACATAGGGAGTTAATTGCTAATTCTGTGCAA